AGGGTGACTGAGTACAGAAGAAGACGAGGGTCAGCTCCAGCTGCCGGCGAGTCGCAGAGGGGCAACTGCAGATAAGAGACTTTGACCAATTTGCATATTCATAAATCCAGTCATACTGAGGCAAAAGTGTAGCAATATATGCTCATGTCAATTTAAGGAATGAAAGTATTTACATAGAATCATTTTAAAATTTGTAGTTTTCTGACAGAGATGGCCATTTTGGGATTTATTCTATGACAAGAGAAGAATATTATCGACATTGCTAAAGATGTGAATTGTGAAATAAAAAAAGATCTTCAACAATCTTCATTTATTTTGATAAGCAATAAGTTTGTCAAGATTTTTAACGTATAAAAGGTAAAACCCCTGCAAACAGGAATGTGCTACATCAGTTGAAAAGAGTTAGTGTCTACCATAATAATGTTCCTGCCAGGAATTTATGTCAACTTTATAAATCCATGGCCATTAAATTTAGATAGTGGCCCATAAATTCTGGGTGGGAACGACTCTTCTACTTTTAATGAATACTTTTTGAACATCTTCAGTTTCACATCTGCAAAGCCACATCACCTCTTACAGTGAGCTGTTCAGGTGCTCATTGAAACGAGCATTCCTTTTAAAAAAGGCATATCACTCACCTCTTTGCGTGCTGGATTTGTGAATAAAAAGCTTACATAATTTGTTAGCTTTTGAAATATGTGTTTGTTGACAATAATAATGAAATAATAAAGTAAGTTAACATTAAAACGTGTATTCTTCATTTGTCCAAATGTCTGTATTTTAGCTCATTCAAGTGTAGATTTTAGGATCATGGAAATTTTATATTCACCATCCAAACAACTTCTCTGTATTTTTTTTACAAGTGCATAACTATATGAAAAATATACAATAATGATGCAATAAACTTTACACTATAAAATTATGTGCCATGTGTGATCCAAAATTTAAAAAAGTTTGGTCATTGAAAAATAACTGAAAATACACCATGTATCCATGCATATGAACACCAAACTTTAAAATGGAATTAGGTAAAAGTGTTGAGAAGTCCAGCAAAGAGGAGCATTATTTATGTCCTTAGAGAGAAAGATAAGAAATGGCCGCAAGTGCTGTCATGACTTCTTTTCTCCCAAGCCTCTATGCAAACCTCTTAATCTCCCTTCAGTGTCTATTCAGAGAGATTAAATGTGTCTCCAAGGAGGAAAATATCAACCAGCCTAACGAACAAGATAAATTTAAGACCTGCTTCTAATATCATGTCTGCCTGTGGAGAATTGGTGATTAGGACTGTTGTCACTCTTCACCTTTGTGCATGTGTGTGCATGTGCATGTGTATATAAAATCCTGTTTTAACCTCAGAAGAGTTTGCTGCCTCAGGTTTAACCCCTAATATGATTAGTCGTGGTCGGAACTTACAACCTAGACATTACATAAGCTTGGATCTTCTACCAGATGTCTGGGAGCTTAGGGGTTCTGTGCAGTATTTGTTCACAGGACCACACTCTTTAGATCACAGCTCTCTGTGGTTAGTCCTGGAAATGGTTTGACCCACAACTACCATTTGGGAGTCACAACACCAAGTCCTCCAATGACCACTTGATTCTCCACAACTTCCATATATCCCATTTTAGCTCTTGGAATTTTTGGTAGCTTCTCGTTTCCCTTGATGTTAAAGTTTCTTGGGTTTGCTACAGCTATCATGATTTATTGACCAACTGGTTACCCATCAATTGTTTGTCAATCTAGCACTGGAAGACCCACAGTATCTTAGCCCTTGCCGTTCTCCACCACCGTTAGTGGAGCCTTCCACTTTCACTGTGAAATCTCCAGTCCATACTCAACATGAACGTTCACGTAAACTATTTCAGTTACTTGGTTATGGCGTTCAATGTACACTTTGCCTGCCCACATCTTACATCCTGCTAATATGAGCTGGAGTGCCTCAGGAGTATCTTTGTGCATCCTCCATCAGTATGTTTACATGCACAAAATTTTTTGATCGGATTGAAATGTATTTGAATGAAATAATCTGAATGTACTGTTTACATGTCCGGACTTTTATTCAGAATAAAAGTCCGGACATGCACAGTGTTGTAAACTTTCAACTCTGCTTCTGTGTTACAACCATAAACAAAGCTCCTCTGTGCGCTCAGGACGGACCCGTGACAGCTTTTAATAACAGTAGAGACGTCGTTACTCCTCGGTTGAGCTGCAGATGAAGCAATACGTGTTTTTTYYTATGTATTTATTTTTTGTGAAGCAACGTCTGCTGTTTGTCTCCTTTTTCATCTGTTGAGAGAGCAAAGAGGAAAAGTTCTGCGCGGTGCAGCGCAGCTGGAGCGCTGCTGTCCCACCTCCTCTAAGAGCAGAACCGGGTGAATGAAAGTCAGAAGACATGCGCACACAGGTCAGTTTTCTACAATCAGAAAAAGATGATCGGATTAAGTGTTTACATGCACCTCATTCCGATTATCAATCGGCATAACCCACCCCATCATTCGGATTAAAAATTCATTCGGATCGAGCTCAATCGGATCAGAATAATCCGAACGTGCTGTTTACGTGACGCATTTTTATTCCGAACAACCGTTTAATCCAATTACTTATGTCCATGTAAACCAGGGGTGTCCAAACTACGGCCCGCAGTCCAGTTTTTATTGGCCTGCAGCAAATTTTGAAAATATAATTGAATATGGCCCGCACAAGCTGTTTGAACACAAATGTGTTGCACTTCTCAGTTTCAACATTGGATGGAGCCAGCCACAGAAACGAAATTATAGAGAAGAGGAGAATAGAAGAAGAACCTTTTTGTAACTACGACAGCAGCAGCAGCGGCAGCAGTGGGACGTGGGAGGAGGAGCGTCTGCCCTCGGCGGGTGAAATAAAGATAAAATAAAGAAAATGGCTTTGATTTATTTACTAAAGAGCAAGCGAACGTTTGCGCACAGCAGGTAATTAACTCACCAGATGATTTAGAGGCATTTTGTTCAGTTAGTTTCGCTGCTCCAGAAGCTGCCCGCTGACGGACTTTTTTTTTGTTGTCCGAACCAGCTGACCCACATCAGCACTTATATATCCAGCCAGAAAACCCAACTGCAGATGGTCGATTTCAGGTAAAGATCTCCTGTTCGTCTGTTTCGGTTTAGTGGGCAACATTCAGGAAACTATCACGTGGAAAAATGAGACTCTCGGATTGGTTGATGCGACGTGTCGAGCAGCAAAAGTTCAGATTTTCCAACTCAGACGCCACGCAAAAAGAATGATGAGCCTGTTCGGCTCAACGTACATATGTGAACAAACATTTTCTCTGTTAAATCAGAACAAAAGCAGACTGAGAACCAGAATGACCAATAGCCATCTCTGTGAAGTCCTTCGTGTCTCAACCACCAAACTTTCTCCCAACATGTCAGCCATCCTTCAGTCCAAAGGACAACATCACTGCTCCCACTGAGTGCAATGTTCTTCACATAGGTGAGTTTGAAATACACACATTACTGATGTATGAATGTATCTCATTATTACAGTAAAACTGATCCATTTATGTTTTMATTATTTTACAGAAAATGGTGTGAAGGACAGTTAACCAAACCCTCACTTGACCTTCAAACCCCCTCGATACAACTTTATTCCCCCCCTCCCTACAACCAATGCGAAGACTAACTACCTGAAGGATGATTCTAATAGAGAAAGTGAGTATCAATATTTCACTTCTAGTGTGTGGCCCGGCCCTTTGTTTATTTTTCTGTATTTGGCCCTCACTAAAAAAAAGTTTGGACACCCCTGATGTAAACGTAGCTCATGCTGGGTCCTATTTGGTACTGTAGACCCCAGCCTCGACTTATCTTGTGCTTCTCTGGCCACTGGTAGAATTTGTTAATACTTGTTTCTAGAAGCAGCTGCAAAACAAAATGGAAGCTCACTTATTTTTCCAGTTATCTAGCTCAAAAGACGGATGGACTGAATTATTTTCAATTTCCCACTTCAATCCGCAACGAGGTACAAAAGAGGTCGTGAGTCAAACATGCTATTTCCTCGCAATAAAGTTATTATGCATATTCTATTTTATTATTTAACATTATGTTCCACTTCGTTCAACATGTAATTTTACTTGATTTATTGTGAAATAATTTTGTTTCTTAATAAAAAATGAAAAAAAATAATAATAACAATTATCATTGTGTTTTTTATCTCCATGAAATTAAAGTTAATAATAAATAATAGAAAATCCTTATGAATTTCCTACATTTACATGCAGTAATAAAACAAGATACATATTTTTAGGCTGACAGTTATATTGTACTCTAAGGGAAGAAAAATGGATAGCAGTCAACCCAGGAGCATGATCTGTAGTTAATCATGATGTTTAACATTGTATGCACAATAAAGTAGCTCAGAAAGTAGGACAAAAAGATTAATTTAAAAACATCTGATTGGACAATAACAAGCTTAAACAAATCATACCTTTCTAAAAACAACGTAACTTTTGTCAGGCTAAAGGTCGTAATAAATAACATTATTAGTAATATATCAAGGGTTCACTGTGATGACTCAGTTTTTATATAAAATGTTTTTTCTGAATGTTTTCATAAGAATCTTGCAGCTCCAGTAATGGCAACTTTCTTCCCTTGTAAATTAATCAGGTATTGAACATCTAGATTAGGTAAAAGTATAAAGGGGCTTTAAAGCAGAAGTGTTTGAAATTTGTGATATACAAAAAGTAGATGCAGATTTAAGCAGGAGTTATAGGTGAATGCCATACTTCTCTCCTTGATTTTCATGACTTTAAGCTGCAATAAATAATCGTGTAATATGAAAACTAGTCAGAAATAGTCAGAAATTCTTAAATGCATAATAAAAATACAAGGTTATTTTTTTCTCCAACATTTTACGATTAGGGTTTATTTATAAATTTTCAGCACTGTAACAATGAACTGGAATGTCAATCAAATATTTAGGCAGAATTTGTTCTGGTTATGCTTTGATCAGCTCAGTCTGCAGCTTACCTTCATGCACAGTCACCCCACAGTTGTCACATTGAATGATCTCATCTGCATCTTCACTGTTGTCTCCTAAGCAAACGCAGCAGATGAGGATGTGGTGAGTGTTCCACGCCTGTGTACGGTCAAGTAAAGTATCCTGCAAAGTCAGGAAACAAAGTCAAGGTTCAATCATTTGACAAGAAACTGTCCTGCTCTGACCTCAGGTTCAATAACGTCACAGTAAATTCTGTAACAACACTCTCAAAGGCTAATTCAATACAACAACAGCAGCAGTCAAAGGTTAAATCCTTCATTGGTTTTCTTTACCGTAATAAACCTTCCTTCACTCACTGTGACAAACAGCTTCTGGTTAAAATGACAGTGCTTTCAGATTATCCTAAATTATGGTGATGTGGTTTACAGGTCTGCCTCTAAAACCCTTCTTCACAAACTGGACGTTATCTATCACGCTGTTTGTAACTGGTGCTTCATTTAAACACCACTGTGATCTGTACTATCTGATAAACTGGTCATCTCTTCAGTCTCGCAGACAAATTCACTGATTTGTGTTTATTTAAAACACCCTCATTGGAAAAACTCACAAGTTACCTACAGTCACTTCAGACTACAAACCAAATTTGCTGTCTGTGTTCTAGTGACCTCATCAATCTCCTTATTCTGTACCTCCTTTTGGTCGCTCCTCTTTTCAGTCCTCTGCTGCAGATGACTGGAACCATGTGCAACAGAATTTAAAGCTGAACTCATTCATTTCATTGTCTTCTTGTAAAAGTTCAATAGATCACTTTACTTGCTTTACTTTTTTTTTCTTCCCTTGCTTATATTGTGTATATTACTTGTGTATGTTACTTTATGCTGTTTGTGTTGTGACTTTGTATGTATCAATTTATCTTGTGTTGTGTTGCTGCCTCTTTACCAGGTCGACAAAATGAGAACTGGTTCTCAACTGACTTCCTGTACCTGCTAAAATAAAGGTTTTGTAAGAAAAACATGATCAAAATTGGTAGTCAGAATATTTTTGCAGGAAACCAAGTTGATTCTCTTCTAAAAATCTTTATCCTTCAGATCTGTACTCCATTTCATTGTTCAGAGCCTCTGTCTCCCAGCACCTGTGAGTGACCCTGAGTCTTATCAGCAAACAAAAACAAGGCCCTGTCAACAGCACTGGTTGCACTGAAAAGTCTATTTTTCTTACGTCAGACAATGAAATCTTAAACAATGCTGCAAAGTGGGACACATTTGCTGGATCTCTCCCTGTTTAAAGAAATCAACTGCAACTGATCACAAAGTGTAACATACTAGACTGGATCTAAAAAACATTTAATCAGACACAAAATTTCCTTCAGTTTAATAATAACAGAAAAAAAAACACAAGTAATTTTATTGAGTGCATACATCAACTTTCTTCTATAAACCCACTAGTGGCCTAGAACCAGGGGCGGTTCTAGGGGCAGGGCCACAGGGACATTGGCCCCAGCTGAAATCTAATTGGCCCCCTGAAGTGCCCCTGTCCTGTCATTCATCTGTCCTTTACCTGGGAGCAATGATGGAAGATGCAGTTCCATGTCCAAACACTAGTGGCGCTAATGAGTCAAATAGGAAAATCCAGCATGAATCAAGCTTCCTCTTCTCTTAAGAAATTTAGAATAAAACTGCAGAAAGTCTTTCAACTGACAAATGATGACTAGATTTTCTCAAATGCTCTTGTGTTTGAAAGTATTTTATCTTGTAAAAATGTAAAACTGGTAAGGAGAATTTATTGTGCAAGCATTTTTAAAAATATATATTACATTACAGGTGTTTGAACACGTGTGACCGGTTAAACGTAAACACCTTACCAAAACTGGGGATTTGTGTGAAAGAAGGTTGAACAAATACTTGGCCCCTTGATGGCCCCTTACTCAGAGAAATCCTAGATCCGCCACTGCCTAGAACATTCTTTTGTAACAATTTAGGATAACAAAATGCAACATTTTTAAAAAATGTCTCATTTTGTTTGAATGTATGAATTCTGGGAATTGATTTCAGTGGTTTCTGTATTGTACACCTGCAGGCTGGTAATATTTTAGATGAAAAATCCTCAGGTATAAACCTGCATCCTTTCCATGCACCTAGTGTTTCTTTGTGTGACAGAGACATTCTGTCGTCAATGAGACATCCCAGTGAGCACAATCATTTTTTTACACTATGAATTTAAATACTGTTTAATACTCTGTTTGACTGAGGTCAGAAACTACAAGATTGGAATTGAACTCACCTCGTTACCCTTTCCTTGGGACATACTGTCATTGGTCAATTCGTCATCAAAGGCACTGCTGCTCTTCACCTTCTTCTTGGGTTTCTTCACCTCTTTATCACTATCACTGCTGCTGTTGTTGTTGTTGTTATCATCACCATCTTCCTTGCCATCGTCGTCTTCATCGTCGTCGTCGTCATCATCATCGTTGTCATCATCATCATCATCATTATCGTCATCATCGTCATCGTCACTAGCGCTAGCACCCTCCTCTTCCTCCGTGGCGCCTTTCTGAGTAGCTGTCTTGCCTTTCTTCCTCCCTGCGGTGGGCCTCCAGTCATTATCGTCCTCGCTGTCGTAGTCATCTATTTCATTCAGTTCTTCCATGGTAGTGAAGTCCAACAGAGGCCGATTCCTACGGAAGTTCCATTTCTTGGGCTCCGTCAGGGACTCCTCAGCATTTACGCTGCTGCCTCCAGAAGCTGAGCTGAGCTGAGCTGATTCAGGTTCATCCGCTGCAGCGGGGCCTGGTTCTGAAGTCTTCTTGCTTTTCCGCCTGCCTTTGGATGTGGCAACAGAAGGGATATCTTTAGAGGAGCTATCTGAGGAAGGCTGCTGTTTGTTCTTCTCCTCATCCTCAGTCAAGTTGTCTTCGGCAGCCAGGTGTTTGATCTCGTCATCTACGCCATCGTCTGCTGAAGCAGCAATCTCCGAGTCGCTTTCGGAACCTGCAGCACTCACTTTAGACTCTTCCTCGTCACTGCCATTACCGGTGCCTTCGGAGCCTATCAGAACATGAAACATCAGTAGAACAGAAGAGTTAGTGCAGCCACTATATATTGATTTTTGTCAGGTCAAAGTTTAATTTTAGTTGGTCAGTTTTGGTCTGAAGAGCTGTTTATAGTACGGTAGTTAATCTCATCATTGTAAGATTTTAACAAAACATTTGTTGAGTTGGGAAAATGTGATCACGTTTGTAAACATTTGTCAGGTTTTTTCAATTCTGTGTGGTCTTGCACCTCCTCCACTTGAAGCAATTGCCTATATGCCACGAACATCCGGCCCAGCACTTGATGCCACTCCCAACACTTCCGGTTCACGGTCAACACAGTGTTAGCGAAAGATTTTTTCACCCGACAACGACTCTTAATGATCTCCACAGTACAGAATTAGCATATTACATGTACCAACATTGACACAGGAGACGTACAGGTCCAGCCAAGTGGAAAAAAATCACTCCAAAGTGGATTAAAGCCATAAAAACAAAGGAAAGACGTTTGTGTTTATGGTTCCAGAATTTAGCCTTTTTTCACTATTCTGTGGCTGCGTGTTCTGTGAATTTTTCCCGTAGAGCTGTGACACTTATATTGTTGGAAAGAGCAGAGTCTGGGCTTTAAATCGATGGGCTACTTGTATGGTTTGGATCATTTTCCCCGGCGTTAGTGAACTGAAAACGTAATGATTATCAGGCGGAGGTTCTGCTGCTCTCGGTGCTCGGGGGAGGGGGGGAGGGGCGCGCGCGTCACTCGGCTTTAGTCTACTCTGTAATATACACTCTAACAAGTTTTACCTTTGCATAAAACTCATGACAAAGTCACATAAAAACATTTCATATAACACAAACGCGTGCGCACACACCTACCTTTGTACCGGCTGCTGTTAGCTTACTGCTAGCTGTCGTGTGGAGGAGGTCTTTCCTCTCTCGTGTTGGCAGTAAAAGGGGATAAATGTACATTTCCCTTTTGTAACCTCCGTCGTCTCATTTCTGATGCTGACTCTTGAATATCCTCAGGTTAGAAATGCCGATTACAAACGCAAGCATGAGCTTTTAAAGATAAGTTTTCCCTGTAATGCTATGATCCACTGCTGTCACCTCCTCATCAAGAGGAAAATGGAGAAAAACTAACTTTTTCACGGACTAGTACTAGCAACTAACGGTAAAAACATAGGCAGTAAGCAGGGAGTGGAAGGGAGGAGCGTGGCAAGAATTTTACAGAAAATACGTCATTAATGACCGTGGCATATAGGCTATTGTCTTCCAAGGTGCCAATTATGGAACTCTCTGTGCATTGCTGCCCAAATCAAATTCTGGAAGTGGTCATTCAACTAGAT